GGGGGGGGGTTCCATCGGGACTGGGTGGCTACCGGAGGGGTTGGTCTACGTTCGCGTGCCGTGCGAAGCGGATCAGTGCAGGTTCTGCAAATCTCCCCTTTTTCGGCGTCCCCCGGAGGCAGGATTAAGGGGTTACTGCACGGTTTCCTGAACATCTGTTTTGTTTTTTGGTGGGGGGGGTTTCTTCTCCTTGGGTCGGAGAGAAACTAACGGTCTCTCTTGAAATTTAAAAGAAAAAAAGGGGTGGAAAAAAGTTCTTTACTGCTGCAAAAAAGCAGCTGGATTTTTCTCGTAGCCAGGCCTGGTGAAAATCTCTCTGCCCCAAGTGGATTTTAAGATCCTGTTCTGCTTTCTCGCTTCCAGTCCCTTGTTCCTAGTGACTTCAACGGGAGCGGAGCCAAGTTTTTTGGGGGGGGTGGGAATGCCCCCGTAAGCATGAGTTTGTATTGGCTTTTTGAGATTTGTTTCTTTGGCACAGAGTTCCTTTCCTTTTTTCCCTTTCTTTCTCTCTCTCTTCCTTCCTTTCCTTTCCTTTCCTTTCCTTTCCTTTCCTTTCCTGGCTTAATTGCTCTCTTACTAATTTTGTCTTCTGCCTGCCAAATGTACGGGTCAGTTTTACAAGCCTTGTCTTTTTCCTCCCTGTCAGCTGTTAAATGGCCCTTCCCTTCTCCCTGGAGGCTGGAAAGAGGAACTAGGAGTCTGCCAGGCCTGGCTCAGAGCTCTCCCTCTTTTCGTGTCGTCCCCTTCCTTCGTATGTTGCCCCTACCCCGTCCCGTTTTCCTTCTCCTCCCCTCTGCTGTTCTGTTCCTTCCTTTTGGATGGCTTACCTCACGTTTACGTTAGGGGGGGGATTTCTCTTCCTCCCGCTCAGATTGGCTCTGAGTGGGTGGATCAGGCTCGTAACAAGAGATAAAGCCCAAAGCTTTAAAAATAAAACACGAATAAACTTTGCCAGGATTGGTTGCTTAGATGGGTGAAGGAGGCTCCAAGATTTCATGCAATTCGGCTAGTGGTGGGGTTGCCTGAGGAGGAGGAGGCGTGATCAAGAAAGGGCAAGCGGGATGCTTCAACCTCCGCGACTTTTAAGCTGGGAGGACTTCATTCCCCAGAATTCCCCATCCTGTCTCTTAAAGGAACAGCGGCAAATCTGCAGCGCCAACCTCGTTAAGTTTCCCTGCCCTGCCTGGGCCACCTTCCTTGATCACTTAGCATGGAAAGCAAAGATGCATCCACCTCCCTCTCTCAGAGGCTCCAGGGTTTGAGGGTTTTATAGAATTAGAATAGCATAGGATAGGATAGGATAGAATAGAATAGAATAGAGAATAGAATAGAATAGAATAGAATAGAATAGAATAGAATAGAATAGAATAGAATAGAATAGAACAGAGAGAATAGAATAGAA